TAGTTTGTTCAAAATATCGTTCTCGAACTTCAGCCGGCTGTCCGGCTGGGCGGAGCTGGTACTGGGGTTCGGGGGGACACTCAGGGTGGAAGGGTAGGGATAGGCGTTGGGAGGCTGCCGCGGCGGGTGTTGGGATTGCGACGGGAAAGTATGGTTTGTCGGGGAGAAGGCCAAGGGGTCGCTGCCGTTTTGATGGTTTTCCCCAAAGAGACCGGGATCCACGGCCCCAGCGGCGTGTGCGGGGCTGTGAACAGCGAAAGGCCCCATCGCGGCGGCGGTGGGTTGCGATGGCCGGACTGGGGGGCTGTCAGATTGCACATTCCAATCACCCTGCGGGATATGGCGGTTGGATAACAACGGACGTGGAACCTGGTATTGGATTGGGAGGTGCGATGGGTACAGGCCGCGGGTGGAGACGGCGCTGGTGCTGCTGGCGGTGTAGGTGGTCACGTTGCCACCGCGCTTCACGCTCGCGCGCACGACCGCCGGGTCGGGAGGGTGGTCATGGAAAATCGGGGTCGACATATCACCTTGTTGTGGGGGCTCTTGGACCAAATTGGGGTAGTTGCGGTGTGATTCAGGGTGGGAAAGGGTGTTTATCGGTTGCGATTGGAAGCGTGGCTGCCCATCGCGGATGTAATCCACAAGGGAGTGCATCGAGAGCGGGAGCCCCGCCGAGACGATAATGCGCTGCGCAACATTCCTATCTTCCAGTGTAGGCTGTGGAAAGAAAGGTATGGTCTGTGCGTGAGTGAGCGAGGTTGACGTCGTTTCTGGACCAGCGCTGTCGGTGTGCCTATCAACGCTGGTACAAGGTTTTTCTTGCACGGCGGAAAAAATAGCTCGCATAGCATAAGGTTGGTGCGTCGTAACGTGCGTCGTGACAGAGCCACCGCCATCTCGTGTATGTGCGACTTTGTTGTGATCATGTTGTTGTTGCTTTTGCTGTTGTTGTTGTTGTTGTTGTTGAGCGCTGTAGGCGTTGACGTTCGTCGAGAAAGGCGTCGGCGGTGAGCGCTGCATTGTGGGTTCCATCGTACCATTTGACGTAAAAGACCTCAACGCTGAGGCGGGGACGGAGGAGGCAGTGTACTCCTGCCGCGGTTTGCTTGTTGTCTCGAGGCTTGTTGTGAGGATGGTGCGGACAGTAGACTTCTCCTTTGTCAGTAGCTGAGATCCCGTAGGAGAGCTCCACAGATCGTCCTGCGCGCCGAGCCCTACAAGCGGCGTTCTCATGCTTGTCGCCGTCCTGGTGGAAGCGGTGGGTGGATCCTCCCAGACGGTGCTGCCCTGTGTTGCCCACGGGGTGAGGTAGACAACGTGTGAGGGGGTGCGTACCATGCCTGGCAGAAGGATATCCTCTCGGTCCGAACCGTTTACAGGGGTTATTTCGATCCCTGGTGGCCGCTGTGCGTTCTGCTCATTCATGGAATCCGTGACAGGTAAAAGTCACCCTTTTTAGTAGTGTAAAAGGGCTTTTATACAAGAAAAATAATCGAAGTTTCCAAAGGCTTTGTTTCTATTTTATTTTGTCTCTTTTGTTGTACTCGATTTACTTATTTTTTTTTCTATAAATATAATATAGATAAATATGTGTGTGACAAATGATAAACTTTTTGAATGATGTAATCTAAATGTATATCACTTTGCCAAAAGTAATGTCAAGCAAGAAAAACGGAAAACAAAGAGATCCTAGACTTAAAAAGATATACGGAATACTTCGAATTGTATTCAATGCCTATAAAAAGGGAAAATAATTAAAAGGAGGAAGGTAATTTTGTCATTTTTTCTTTAAGCATAACTCCACATGTGTAAGCCATGTGGTATGGGTATGGGAAAAGTCGAAAAGCAAAGAGGGAAATGAATCATAGAAAAAGGTGAGAGCGCCATTAATAACAAAAAAAAAACTCAAAACAGTTGGAAGAGGATTTAAACGCCTTATTAGGGTATTATACAGATTTTAAAATTAATCGTGTATGCTTGATCTCTCCTTATTATTATTCTCTCTCCTTTTTTTGAATTCTGAGATGTTTCTTTCTGTTATATATTCTAAACCTTGAGGCATTTCGGTGGTTTCCTAGTTTCCCTCCCTCATCTTTCCTTTATCCAAGTGCTAGGACACCCATTGTGGTTACACGGCCCTGACAGTTTGCACTCGTTATGTATGTGAGAGCCACAACACTTTCATTGGCAATATTTCGTATAACATCTAGCGTCCAGTTGATCACCACTCCTGCCGAGTCGATAGAGAATAGGGTACGGCGTACACGTGCGAGCGCCTTGATACGCACTGTGTGGCGTAACGGGTGCTTCTGGAGAGTGTTTTCTTCCTTTGTCACTGCGGCCGCCTCAGACGTCTGCTGCTCATCCCGATATCGGAGCTCCACCGGTCGCAGCACCACATCCGCAGCGCTCTGCTCTTGGGATGAAGTTTCCGCAACAGAAGATGGGGGCGTGAGCGTTGCGTAGAGCAGCTGCCCCGCCTCATTACCGACCAAAAACGCATCATCCGAGACGAAAACAAGGTTATGAAGCTCTTCCTCCGGCTGCGGTTGCACCAGCCGCAAAACATACGCCATCTTCATTGTGGCGGTGCGGTAGACGACGACGGAAAAGCGACTTTGCACGGCCCAATACACCCCCATTGGAGAAAAAGATACCGACAGAGGCTCCTCCTGCTGGCGCCCATCCCACGCCGTCCGCCGCCGCCGCTGGTTGATCCCGTCAACGTCCTTGTCGTTTGTTTCGCGGTTCGGATTTCCTCTTGTCCTGGCGCTGGTGTACTTCCACTTTGTCATCAGGCGATGCTTGGCGAGGTCGAGAACCGCGACGCTGCGGTCCTCGCCGATGGTAATACAAAGGGAGCCGTTGCTTTTGGGGTGCAGGGCGAGCTGGACGATGGCCTTCCCGTGAACAGGCAGACCCAGGCTCAGGCCCCAGTCCCGCGTGCGAAAGACCCGCAGTTGTCCATCCGCGCAGCCACAGAGGAGGTGGTGGGAGTTGTCCGTGAAGGCCACGCACCGCACCTCCGCGGGAGGGCCCAAGCTGCCGAGCTCCGCCAGCCGCACCGCCAGGGCATTCCCCGAAGACGTCCCGTGGGGGTTAACCCCTTTGGGTCTTTCCCGGGCGTGAAGTTTATTGGTAAAAAGAAAGACCCGCTCATCGACACCGCAGCTGGCGACGTACTTGTATCCCACCGCGACGCCGTTCATGCAGCCCACATGGTGTTTTACGGAGAAAGTAATGTAGAAGGCGCCTTTTCTGAGAACTAATCCCGCCATCACGGAGTGGTAGGTGCCCACCACAAGGAGCGCATTGCGGCATATATCCTCCAGCGGCCCCTCGGCCTCTTGGGGCAACTTTTGGATTTCTATTGGATTACTCCTTTTGGGGGATTCCAGCTCCTCTTCCACCTTTTTAGGTCGCTTGGTATGGAAGACATTGGGTTTTACATCGCGACGTCTCTTTTCGTTACGCGGGCCGCGTTCCATTGGGAAAGAAATGTGAACTGCCAAGGTTACTTTTTTTACCCTTAATGTCGCTTAATGTGCGGGTTGAAAGTTGGAATCCGAATAACCTATTTACTGAAATAACTAAAAGATGGCGGAAAGTAGGAATGTCCTTATAAAAGCACGCTAATAACAGTAATAATAATAACAATAGTAACAGACGTAAAACTTCGTATCCATGTATATAAATTAACACAAGGCAACACAATAATAAATATACCCACAAAATAAGCCTGTTTTTTTTTCTAATGGTTCATTTTAGTGCAATTATACACTCATTTTGAGTTATGTGCATATATCTATATCTATATATATACATATAGATATATATACGGCATTAAAAATAAATGAACAGAAGGGATACGGTCTAGAAATGATCAAGAAATTCTTCTTTTCGTGTTTGCTATGTAAACAAAGTTCTAACTTCATAAATAAAGCGACTAAACCTCGCACGAAGAATAATCAAGTAATGGAGAATAAGAGTAGTTCATAGAAAACCACGAGAATAAGCATCCATTACAGATTTTAATAGTCCCAAAACTTCATAATCCATTTCCCCTTCCCTCGGTTGTGAATAAAAAACTATCACACAGACACATAAAAAAAAAGAGATAATAAATATATATCCACAAATAGCACATTTGATAAATATTTGAATAACAGGGTTCTTTCCCACGGGAAATTGTATTTAACTAAAACACAGCATGATTCCTTCCTCCCTTTACTTTGTAAGCAAATGAGATGGATGTATCTTATAGATGCGCGACGGGATAAATTTTGACAATATTTTCCATAAAGTGGAGAAATTTTAATCAAGAAAATATTTTCTTCTTTTTATTTTTTATTCGTCTTTCTTAGTTGGTAGAGCTTTTTTTTGGTTATATGGTTTTTGTCAACATTTTTTTAGATCTTTGAGATGTTAGCAAAAAAACAAAAATGTACCACAGTTAAATCAATGTAATCGGAAGCAGATATATATTATAGTAAGAGTTCATTTTGGCTTAACTAAATGAACAAATAGTTGCGTAATGCTTAACAAAATATAGATAGCTAGCACTCGAAAAAGGCACACATTAAACAAAAGCATCTCATCACATTAACACCTTTATTCTTTTTTTTTACATTTCCGTTAGTACCGAAAAAGATTTACATAACGGTAAGATTCTCATTTACAGTCTCATGGAAATAACAATAAATAGGAATAATATCTACTCTTTTTCAGAGGTCATTAAGGTACATATGAAGTAATGAGCTTTCCACTATTACACTACCTCGAGATGCATCCCTAGAGGATAAGGCGATCCATTATCTCGCCAAATGCTACTATCGGAGAGCCCTCTAGCGAACTACAGAAGAAATGAATTCGTAGAAAAAAAAGCTAAATATTTTTAAAAATGGACCTTGGTAAAACTCTTTTTTTTTCCCCAAGGAAACCTTTTTTTTTTCAACGATACCAACCCTCTTAACGGTGTCCTTTTTTTGGTCCTTACCGTTAAGATTTCACAGTTAAATTTATTCCTGAAAGGGTCCTCTCCGACGAGCTACTTTCCTCCCCTTTCCTTCAAAAGCAGTATTAGTGTTAACATGGCAGCTATGTGTGTGAGTGGCGGTGATGATAACACCATACAAGACGTTTTCTTATCCCTTTTTTTAATCAGTGCCAGTTTGTGGTAGCTGGGAAGCCTTTTAGCTTCCCCGATGATGCCGTATCATAATATTTCATTTTATTGATGTGTATACATTTTGGTAAGTGTTTGTTATGATTATCATTTTCCTTTGAGAGGCAGGGATGCACATCCTGAAGGGCCCATGGAAGGGTTTAAATTCGGTTGTGGATAGGTGTTAGAGGTAAGGACTTCCCCACCATAGAAGTTTCCTCTGACGGAGAGACTGCGATCGAGATCTTTCTCGCCGAATGATCGACATCGCATGAATTCGCTCATCGAGCTGTTCTGCGTTCGAAGGAAGCCGCTGCTGGGGTTCTCGTGGCCGAGCTCGAGTTCGCTCGTGAGGAAGACGTTCTCATAACGGGAGAGGTGACACTGGCTGAGGTCCGTACCGACGCTGCTGCAGCTGTGGGAGAGGTGACACTGTCTGAGCCCCCCCCAGCCCGCGAGCGAGGCCACGGCCTCTCTGTCCAGGGACTTTTCAGGTAGGGCCTTCTCATCCAGGCCCCCCCCCCGGGCCGTCACTGCGGAGGGCAAGGGCGAGTCCTTGCGACGGCTCGGGATGTCCCGGACGGGCTGCCGAGGGAGGTCGACATCGCTGGGGAAGACGTAAAAGGCGGAGAAGGCAGGGACCCCCACCGGCGCCGTATTTCCAATGGACATCCTCCTCTAGCTGTGCACGAGATGTGAAAGAATGTCACCCCCAACACACACACACAATTACCCCCAACGTGCCAAAAAGGGGTAGTAAATAATGAAACCAATTGAAGTGGGATTTTTTACCGTGTAGCTGACCCCAGACAGGGTGAAGGGAATGGCACAAGGTTAACTCAATCGAAATGACAAGGCGCCTTGCCAAACAAGAGAAATATAGATTCCGATGAAGTAAGGTTGAAAGCTGAATGGGTTACTAATATTGCTAACACAGTAAACTACTATCTATGACGTCTCACCCTTATTTAAATAGCTAAACAATAGAAAAAATAAGATCAAATAGAATAAAATACATGAAGGGGTATAAATGATATTGTCTGTGGTAAAAATTCTTTTTGGTCAACATGATGGAGATTGCTGAAATAGGTTAAACGAAGTACGTATATGTGTATAAAAAGGATATGAAAAAAAAAAGATTTAATCTTGTTATTTTTTCTAGTGTTTCACCCTTCATATTAATATTCACTTGTTTATAAAAAAAAGTGTCATAGGGTTGCTGTTTATTGTCTATCATGTCAAAAAAGTGTTAATATATATTTTATTCACCCATAAAACGTATATAAAAATACGATACTAAAGATAGCAAAGGTTTATCAGTTTTCACACAACTCATTTTAATCAAGATAAAAAATGTTGTAGTTTATTTATTCATTATTTTTCAGCATCACTGTCATGTAATAAAATGTATGGCAGTTGTTAGTATAAAAGACAGCTATGGGTGCAAGAAATTGAACGCTAAATACACAATCCCTTTTCAGCAAACAGTGAAATAAGTGTGTAACTCCAGAAGGAATAAAAATAGCGACTATGATATTAGCTCAAATATAATGTGCCTTTTTATTAATCCCATTGTTACAACACATTATTGTGTTAAACAGAACTAAGCATATTCAAATTATAGTTTTTTTAAATATAGTTTCTGTTATTCAACTGCACAATGAACAATTTACACATTCGAAAAAAATAACATAAAAGGTTAACTATGTTCATTGCATCATGAATTTGAAGAAATAAAAATATAATAGTTGGATAAATTTTAATCAATCTTTTCTTTACTCATCGGTTTAATATTTGTAAACCACGTTGTGTTAATGACAGCTTCCTTCACACGTCGAATCACCGGTTCCAATTTCGTCTATTTGGATTGTGATATGGGAGAGACCAAAGCTGTAGATGCAGACTTCCTTAGCTTTGTTTAAAATATCTCTACTATTCTCATTATTATTTATAACGAGGTGTGCTGAGAGAGAAATATTATCAGCAGACAACGACCATATGTGCAAGTCGTGCAAGCTGTAAACACCATTAATGTTAAGCAATGAGGTTTTGATGACATCATAGTCGGTTCCTTTCGGTGTGCTTTCCATCAGGATATTAATAAGATCATATAGCAGCGAGAACGTCATTTTGAGGGTTATCACAGAGAAAATGATGGAGGAGATTGGATCAGCAAAGTTGTGAATTGAGTACTTATACGAGGGGACACCGTGGCTATATCTGTTGGCTATGTAAATATACAAACCGGCGAGGATCACACCAATGGACTGCATACAGTCGCCAAGGGCATGAAGAAGAGCGGCATTGAGGGCAAAACCAATCTTCGGCATCGTTGCACACTTACTTTCATCATCCCCATTTCCATGGGTGTGGTCATGAGGGTTTTCTCTCTCATGGGAGTGGTCGTGATGAGGGTTTTCCATCTCATGGGAGTGGCCATGATGAGGGTTTTCTCTCTCATGGGAGTGGTCGTGATGAGGGTTTTCCATCTCATGGGAGTGGTCATGATGAAGGTTTTTCATCTCATGGGAGTGGCCATGCGATAAGCCGCCGTGGCTATGTCCATGGGTGCCGCCGACGTACAAAATAAGAGCGCAGACCAGGTTCACGATAAACCCCATACTCCCCACGATGATCATCAAAGGGGATTGGATTTCATTACACACGCGGATTTCGTTGATGCTCACATGAGCATCTTTCCTTTTCAACTCTTCGAACCGTCCTGGGACTCGGGTGCACATGGCGATGTCGTAAATCCGACTCAGCGCTTCGGTGAGGATCCAAACCACAAGCGCCCAGATCGAGATGACGGAGATCAGCGTCCCGATCACCTCGGCGCGGCTCCAGCCATAATTATATTTCCCGCAGGGCACCTGCCCGGCCGCGAGGAGGGCGCCAATACTCAACGCGTAGGCCCCAACATCGGTAAAAAGATGCACCGCGTCCGTAATCAACGCGAGGGAGTTCGCAATCACCCCCAAGGTGAACTCGGCGACCATGAAAATAAAACAAAAAATGAGCGCCCCGAGGAGCACGTGCTTTTCCTTGTCACGGCGTTTCTGCACCGTGTTGGTGATGAGGGAGGTGCCAAAATCTTCTTTTACCATGATATTGTTGGTCTCCATGATGTCATAGTCTTTTTTCTGGCCGCTATGCCAATTGATGAGATTATTACTTTCAGAAGACATTACTCTAAGGAAAAAAAAAGATACACACAACGAATAATTACTTTATATATTAAATACTAGGAAAGATTGATTGCTATTATTCTCCGTAACGGTTGGTAAAAAACTTAGTCAACAGCTAAATATAAAAAGGGTGATATATATATATATATATATATATATATATATATATATATATA